GTGCGGCGCGTCCTGCAGCACCTGGGGCTGGACAGCACCTGTGAGGACAGCATCATCGTCAAGGAGGTGTGTGCAGCCGTGTCCACCAGGGCTGCCAGGCTCTGCGGGGCAGGGCTGGCTGCTGTCGTGGAGAAGAGGAGGCAGAACCGAGGTGTGGAGCGCCTGCAGATCACTGTTGGGGTGGACGGGACTCTGTACAAGCTCCATCCGCAGTGAGTGCCTCGGTGCCACTTCCCTTTGCTGTTTGCTTGTTGCCACTGTGAGAACAGACCTGTGCCAGCTTTCTGCTGCGAGATTAAAAACCTGAGAGGGGGGAAGGATCTAACACATCTCAGTGCATTTTGTCATTTCCCTTTCCTAGCCAGAGGATCAAATATTGTAAAGTCAGCTCCAGTTACCACTGGGAGGCTCTTTTCTCTGGGAAATACTTATTTTCCTAATACTTATTTTCCAGTGTTTTGGTAGATTTCTACAATATCTGAGGCTCCTAGATGGAAAGCTGTCTTGAGTTTTCGGAGTTGCTCACAGTATTCTGTGAGCAAGGCCTAGAAACAGCATTTGCTTTTGAGCTGGGAGGAGAGAACCTCCTTCAGGATCTCTGAAGATGTGGGCAGTGTGTGGCCTCATGCTGAACAAAAGTGAAATGGAGAAATTAAAATTAAAATCTGATTGTGTACAAAAGTTTGTATCTTTCATGAATAGGAGAAAAAGCAAAAGAAAGCAAGGGCTGAGGTACTTTGCTCGTAGGTGAATACAAAGATCTCAGATCAGAGAGCAGCTGCTGAAATGTTCTGTTCTTCTCTCCCTTCCCTTTCAGTTTCTCCAGGATCCTGCAGGAAACAGTGAAGGAGTTGGCCCCTCAGTGTGATGTGACTTTCATGCTCTCTGAAGATGGAAGTGGGAAGGGAGCTGCCCTCATTACTGCAGTTGCAAAAAGGTTGCACAACGTTGGACAGAAGTAGAAATGAGAGGCCAAGGAGCCCCAGCCCTGCCAGGCGTGTGCAGCAGGGGTTTGCTGGGTGGTGGTTCCACAAAGCTTTGCCAGCGCCAGCACAGGTAGCTTTTATTGGGGAGCAGCTGGTTTTGACCAACCAGGATTGTGGATTTTTGGTAACTTGGTGTTTCTGCTCCTCACTAGAATTATGTCTTGGCATGGCACAGCTCTGTACTTCCTGCAGCGCATCTCCAATGCTCGTGGGAGAGTGAAAACAAAACAAAATCAACCCAAATGTGTCTTTTTACAACATCTTAATTAAGCTGCTGCACCACAGCTGAGTTTATCACCAGTTTCTTAGGATTCTGTTCTTAGTTTTGCCTTGCTCTGGCTCGAAGAATATTGAGATTCTGATGTTGCATCTCATCTAGTGGAATATTTGTTCAATGCTTCACAGGTTTTACAATAAATTTGGAGGTGAAATAAATGAATGGACTGTGGTCAGTGATGCTCCCCCTGCTGCTGCACTGGTTGCAAGTGTAATGCAACACTTCCCTGAGGACAGGGAGGCATGTTTAATTAATGAATGTAAAGTAAAAAAATGTGATTCCACAGAATATCAATTTGTGCCAAAATGTGTCAGTGCATCTGAGTCCCATAAAGCTAAACCAGTGCTGCATGGATGCTGACTGTGACTGATCCTTTGGATCCTGCAGGAATCAGAGAAGGTAAAAGGAGCTACAGAGTCTGCAGTGTCTGTGTCAGGGCTACACAGAGGGTATCAAACAGGCCACCCAAATAGTGTGTAGAGGGGAAAAAAAAATCACCCAAATTTCTGAAAGTCTCCTCTTTGTTTTCCCTCTGTTATCTTCTTGCATGTTCCTGAGAGAATTGTTTCCATTTTGTGCAAAGGAAGTTTATCCTTGGTTTTCATTTTCTGTTGCCTGCCTGTTTGTAGTCTGTTTGTAAATAAATCTGTGTTGTTGTGAGCCTTTGCTCCTCTGTCCAGTGCATCTTCTGAGTTGTGGGAAGACCATGCAGGCAAGTGGGAGCTTTCTTAAATCTAAACCTTTATACCCAAACCTTCCTTTAAATCTAAATGTGTTTGTGTACTCAGCAGCGCTGCAGTGATTGTGAAGGGGGTTTGTGGATGGAGCTCATGGCCTTGTGTGACCAAATGTCCCCGACCTGCTCTACCCAGGAAAAACCAAAACAATAATTAGTACAGAGAAGCTGCAAATCTGTGTCCTGCCTGTTGTCTCTTCTCAAATATTCCTGTATCACTTTTAATCCTCTCTTTTTGGGTACTTGCTTCCTCGTGGGCTGGCAGCAGAAAGTGGGGCCAAGAAATGTGCTTGGAGCCTAGTTAGGTCAAAAGTGACTGTGGTGCAGGGGGGTGAGCACTTGGGTTTATGTAATGATCTGTAACAAGGCTGCTGCTGGGTTTAAATTTAGCAATCCCAAATTCAAAATTGGAAGCTACACCAGACTTTTGCTGTTTTGTAGTTTTATAAAACAACAAAATGTGTCAACAGCTCTGTGTCTGTGTTGGAGTTACTGGATGGGTAGAAGATACTTGCAAATAATTTCACTTCTGAAGGAATTCCTCATAGTGCTGAGCTCACTGTACCAAGTTGTTATCTCCTATTACATTTAATGTTTTTCTCCTTTTGTCGAGAAACTTAGTGTTTTACTTTATATTTCAGAATCCACAGAGCTGCAGAAGCCAAAGTTTCCTGTGTAATAAGGGCAGGGATCTGGAGTGGAAGTTTGTTGCTGGTAACAAACAAGTTAAATCTGGAGGGGCTGGGTGTAGAAGAAAAAAAAATCAGATATTGATGTAACACAGCATATCCTGTGCTGAACAGGATGTGCTGCAGTTCAATACATGACATGGTTAGCCAATATAAAATAAAATGGAATTTTTCCAGTTTCACATCTTAGATTTTTGTTTTTCTACTTTTATTTTTCCACTGCTTCCTGGATAGCTGGGTGATGCTTCATTTCCACCTGCTTTCCCTCCAGTTAATATTTTAGTGCTTGAATTTATCAATTTTGTTGTGATGCTGCTTGAAGACATGAACATCTTTTTTCACATCTAGGTGACACATGTAATCTGGAAAGTTGAAAGATCTTTAAATTCTCAGGTATGATGTGGCATAGTGACAGATATGATAGAAGCATTACTGAGGGAAGGAAATAAGGTTTGTGCCTTTCAGAAATTCTCAGTAGATGGTTGCAGTTACCTTTTCATCCATGGGGGTAAAAATAATCCTAAATATTTTGTTTTGCCAGATAGAGACACGTTTTTGGGGCTGCAGGCTTGGACTTGACTCATAGGCTTGGACCCTTGACTCATAATCCATAACAGAAAATGCAGTGGCAGCTCAGTGGTGACATATTCCCTTTGTCACTCTGACAAAGTTCAAAAGCAAATATAGGATCATGTGGAAATCCTTCAGAAATCCTGACTAGCATGATCTCCCGTCTTGAGAAGTCAATATTATACGGGATTAGCAGATCAGTGTAAAGGAGTTTGAGGCTGACATGTAGGTAATACCAAAATGAAAGTATTGTTCCTTCCATCTTCTTTGATTTGTTTATTTGTGAATCAACTGGCTTGGGTTTGAGGTCACCACAGGAATTAGGTGGTGAATGTTGTCCTGTTCTAGGTAAACTTGCAATTTCTCTAGAAAGGACCACCACTGCCTTGTACTGTCACTGCAGGGTGATCCAGAGCATCTCTCAGACCTGTAAAGTCACTAGCTTCTCAAGGGATAAATACACATATAGATATAAAATAATAATTATATATTTATTAATAAAATAAAATAAATAATAATATGCAGATATAAAATAATAATATAATTATATTTTATTATATTATAAAGTTATAATAATATAATATAATATAATATAATATAATATAATATAATATAATATAATTAATATAATATAATATATTCCTGCACACAGGTGGCCTGTTGAGGTGAGAGGAGGAAGGGAAATAAGGCAGATATCTTCTTTGTCCCAGCACTGAATCCACTCTGTAAAGCTGATGTGGAAAGCAAGATATAAAACCACCAAAATTTTAATGAATGTTTTCCTTTCTCTCGTTGATACCATCACCTTGCAGATGCACACTGAAGGTGCTGCAAACGTGATGGGTCATGTCTGTCTGAGAGGGGAATGCCAAAATAATTTTGATTTGGTTGTGTGCTTTTTTAACACCCTCCAGATGCCAGCCCCATCCCTGCTGAGCATTACACTCCTCTGTGTAAATGATGACAAAAACCAAACCAAAAAAGACCCCAAAAAACAACAAAAACCAAAAGAGATGGGGAGAGACTGAGTCCGTTTCATTGCCACTATATTTTATTTTTTATTTTATTTTATTTATTTTTTTTTAATTTTATATATTTTTTTTTTCTTCTTTTGCTGGAAAGGAGGAAGGTTTGGAGAAGAGGGGAGAGATGTGTAAAGAGTATGGCACATCAACAGCTAAAGATTCCCCTTAAATTTGTTACTGCAATTCAGAAAAACTTAAAAGTAAGTGTTAATAATGGAGAAAGGGAATGACAGCAGGGCAAGGTGTGAAGCTTTAAGAGCTGGTAATTACAAGGACAATTCAAGGGCATTAATTGAGTTAAGTGTGAAAAATGCCAATCAGTTGTTTTTAAAATTTTAAAAGTTTAATGATAATAAAATGGTTATAAAAATAGCAATATAATTAGAGTAATAATAATTTGAATTAGGACAACATGAGGCAATAAGAACAAAGAGTTAGGGACAGTTTGGGTACCTCTTTCTGGGCAGGACAAACCTGAAAAAGGACCCACGTTAACAGAGGATTGACCCTTAAAAGCAACAGCCTGTTGCATATTCATACACCTCATTCACGATGCATAAATTCCATTCAAACACAGGATTCTGTCTGGGCAGTGTCAGCTTCTTCCTCTGAATCCTGACTGAGTCTTCAGGGCTGAGCAAGGTGGGAAGAAGTTAATTTCTCCTCATAATGGAGCAATAAATTCTCTTTCTCTGAGGGGTTTAGGTGTCCCATGGCCGCTATCTCATTTCTTTCTTAAAACAAATACTCCACATACATAGTTCCTATTTTAACTACAAAAGTTCCCTTTGAACTACAAAACTGCATTTACCATACTGTTAAAATATTAATACAATATTAACAAAATACATATAGTAGATATCTGCATAGAGCCATAGAACATGCACTTTTCACAGCAGGCATTCCCCCCAGGGCTCACCTGGGGCAGCAGCCACAAGAAAAGGATAGGGATGGAAGTGGTTAATGGATGGGGATGGACAAGCTGGGCCTGGAGGGAGCTCGGAGCAGCAGGAGGAGAAAAGGGGTGCTGGGAAGGCAGGGAGGGTGAGAGCAGGCAAACAAGGAAGGTGCTTTCCCTTTTCAGCAGGCACCACCTGAACGCTCCAAAGCGGAAAGTTACGGACGCTGATTTGGGAGCAGCAGCTGATTCTGGAAACAAATGGGATAAATACTGGCATGAGAAAGAAAAGAAAAAAAAAAAAAAAAAGTTGAAATGCCTGAATTGCACATCTGCTGTGGCCAGCAGTTCTGCAGGAAATGCACTGAGACCAGAGAGAGTCGAGGAAACTGGGCATGAACAGGGCTCCCAGTGAAGCCCAATGGGAGCTGAGGGCCTGGGCAGTGCCCGTGGTAACTGCTGGGAATTTGGCTGAGAATTTGGCTGAGAATTTAGCTGGGAATTTGGCTTCCCTCCCCTGGCTCTCCCATGAAGTATCTGTGTTTAACACAGGCCCAAGGCTGGCTGTGCTGAAGGATTTGTAAAGGTGCTTTGTGCTCTGGGCTCAGAAATTCTGCTGCAGCCTTTTCTGTTGCTTTCAAGTGTGTGTTTTCAGAACAAGGTCTAAAAAGGGTTTTCAGAGCTGTAGGTCTAAAGCTCAGTGTGTTGGTCTGAAATTTGAATAATTGCATGGTCATTAAATTTTGCACAAAAAGGAATTGACTCTAAAAGCAGCTGATATGTTATCATGATTAGAGCAATAGCAATGCCTTCTTTCATCACAATGAAGTTACATTGTTAGGGAGCATAATTGACATTTTTTATTGAAAGATTAAGAAGAACTTGTTTACGGCTTGCAAACAAAGAGGTTTTAATTCAACAAACTGCAGCAGGAATAAGCAGTAAGTGGCATTTTCATCTGCTGGCTGGCTAGAGCTTTAGCTGCAGAATGCTGTGGACAGAGAAGTGTGAAGGAATTTGCAGCTCAATATCTGCCCAGTAAAGCGTGCACCAGAAAGCTGACGGGGAGAAACCTTGAGTGCAAAGGAACAAAGGGCTGGAGTTAATACTGGCACCTTTGGGGAGGACACCACGGATTCTGGAGAGCAGCTTCATGCCACCTGTGGTGCAAGGTATGGCATTTCTGAGGATGCTTTTGCCATGGAACCCTCGGGATGGCACCTGGCTGCTCAGCTGGCTGCTGAAGTAGGTATCTGGGTTGTTTTTGTTTCCCTGGGTGTATTGCTTCATGGTCCAATAGGCTCAGGAGATGAGTGGTGCTGGCATTTCAAAGTGGCATGTTGTGATTGGAAGGGGCTGCTGTGGAAGGGTTTGGAAAGCAGAGCCAAATGAAGCACCACCGCCATTCGACTGCAGAGAGGCTCTTGTGCTTCCCAAATCTATTTAGGATCCTGTTTGGATCAACAACAAACAAATCCTAAACAAATATGTTTAGGACCCTGTGCTGGTGGTTGTGTCTTACTTTCCAGACTGCTCTCCAGATAAAGCCAAGGGTATGTGAAAAATTTGGGTTTTTTTTAAAGCAAATTCCTCTTGTTCACTTGGAAGTGGTTTGGATTTTTTGTCCCAGCTCTGGTCAAAGTTTAAGAGCCCAAGCCAAAGCTGCTGTTCTGACTGTGGAACGAGTCCCCTGGGGGCACTTGGGGGGCTGACAAATCTCTGCAAGGAGGGTGCCCATCCCAGCAGCC